GTCGAACGAGTTAAACGCGTTAGTAACGAATCGTTCGAAAAGTAGTAGTCTCGCTCAGTGCGCATGCTCTGCGGTGATGACGTTTCGAACGAAACTCTAACGAAGTTCACGAAGGAAAGAGTTAGTTCACTTCGTTAAGAAAATGGCGGCCGACGAAATCGATGTTTCTAAATCTACTCGAGTGTTTAAATTGTGAATTAAAAGATGAAATGATTGAAATAACTGTCCACCCGAAGAAATTTAAGAAAAATATTTCGGATAAGGCTGCACTAACAACATTCATATCTTCGATTTTAGAAACAGCCATTTAGTTATAAACGAATCGTTCGAAAAGTCTAACTAAATAAGAATAACGATGACGTCATTCTCGTTTAACTCGTTCGACTTTACGAACGTACCCCATATGAACATACAGCAACCATACCTTCTACATTAAGAAATAAATATTTATTTATTTAAACATAACACAATTAATAATATTAAAAACATTAAATTTCAGAATTATATTAATAAATTATTTCCATTTTTTTTAAATGTAGATATAAAAAGCTGATAAATTTCATGATGCAAGATAAACGCACGTGACCCACATGTAAAATTTAAAGAGAAAGATGGCGGCTAATGTTGCGTGTGAGATGAATTTTACTCCGGAAATAAGCTACAGTTCTGTTAAGCAATGTTTGAATTGCAATAATTTAAAAGAAATTACAGAAATTGAAATTATAGACAATGAAATTACTTATGAGGAATTTTTTTTGAAATTTATGTGTGCTAATAGACCTTGTAAATTTTCATCGAAATTTACAGATAATTGGAAAAGTAGAAAATTATGGATTAATAATGATGATAAACCAAACTTCGATTACTTACAAAGGGAATTCGGTTGGTTCAGCTATTTTCCAAATGTAATATCTAGTGTAAATTTATAGTTCATTTTAACATTATAAATTAACACTTTTGCAAAAACAAATTCCCATTTTAATTAAAACATACATATACTGTTTAAACATAGTTTCCAGAGAAATTGGTTATAAACCATTTTTATAATGTATTGGCAGATAACTTTGAAGTTGCTTATTTCAGATGCAAATTAAAATCTCATCAAAATTTCAAAATCCAAATGCAGTAACATTTTTATTCTCTATTGTTTTTAATATTTGGTGTTGTGAAAGTTCTAAAAGGAAGAAAATATTTCTTTGTTATTATCTCTCCATCAGTTGTTTTCAAATAGGATTAACTACTATTTCTTCTGGTAAACCTCTATTGCAACAAATTTTGCACAAGTAGAAAAGGAGATATATTTACCCATTATTTCACATTACCAAAATGTCTGATTCACTTTCCTTTTGCAATCTTGACTTCTGTTTTTTTCCTTTCAGTTGGTTTCTGAATGAGTCTTGGTATATGAGAAATGATTTTTTGTCCTTTCAGGAATGCTGTTGATGTAAAGAAAAGCAAACATTTTTGGCCTCATTTGGGAGCCAGCATCGCCAGGGCTTCTATAGAAATTTTTTTATTTTTTTTTGGTCAAAATGTTGGTTTGTCACAAATTATACAGTAGTTCCAGCTTTAAGAAATAATAATGTTTTATAAAAAAGAATATATATTATTTATCAATTTATCTACTTTTATCAGGTAACCAAAAAAGTTCTGTCGTTTTTTGTTGAAAGAAAACAAACGTAAAAATGTATAGGAAATAACACAATTTATTCATCAAAATAACCACCCTCACATTCAATAACCTGTTCCCAACGGGAAACAAGCTTATAAATTCCATTTTTATAAAAGTCACGATTTTTAGAGTTGAAAAACTTCCCTAATTCCGTTTCTATAACCTCTCTATTTCTAAACTGTCAATTTCGCAGATGATTATCTAGGCTTAAAAATAGGTGATAGTCAGAAGGGCTAATGTCAGGGAAATAAGGAGGGTGCAAAAGAGGTTCCCATCCAAGGGTCTGAATTGTGTCAGAGGTCACACGCGCAACATGATGTCTATAGCATTATTGTGTAGGAAAAGAACGCCTTTATGGTTCACTAAAGCTGGTGGTTTTTTCAAAAGTGATTGGTGAACTCAATGCAGTTGGTCACTGTAGACATTAGCAGTAATAGTCTGGCCAGATGGTATAAGTTCATAGTGAACAATTCCATTTGCAGTCCACCATATGCACAATATTGGCAGGTGCCAATTGATGAAGTATCCATTTACTGAGCTTGTAAACTTTCCCAAGACAATGCAAATGTAAACGGACAGTTTCATCACTTACGGAGAACCTTTGTGCTAACATCTGACAAGTTTGAGCAGAATATTCTTCGATTGCAGCCTGTAATTCAACATCATTCTCATGGCGCATCTTTAAGCGACTCATTGCCGGAAGAAAATTTTGTAAACCATCTTTGGGTGGTGTGAGTGCTAACAGAACCTTGTCCAAAAGCCTGGCATATTTTTTGAGCCATTTGCACAGCACTTGTTCCAAGTTTAAACTCATACAACATACAAGCACGAATTACAGAGTTTGGAGTACTCATCTTCAAGTCAATTTTTATAATATTAAGAGATAACCTTTCCACTTCTCTTTATATAAGATGAGTCAGCATTAAATCTTGATTAACATATTGCTGGAATTTTAGTGTCATCTATTGTGTATTGCGTGTAACATTCTTTAAACTTTGTAGTTTCACAAAAAACGACAGAACTTTTTTGGTTACCTAATATTTTGTGAAGTTAATTGAACACTTCATTTTTACTTTGTATGTGAGGTTAAGATAAAATCAGTACTGCTTTTTTTCTGAGATTTGTGATCTGGAGGTCGAAAGATACTTAATTTTTCCGTGTATAAATTATAGAAACCATATATATTTGTTACTAGATTCATGTTTCAGACTAGTTTGCTCATCTCAATTGAAATTCATTATTTGTTATTTCAATATAAAAATTGTGTTATTCTTGATAATTGAAATGAATTTATCTAAAGAGAAAGAAGAAATAATAGTTTTGTTTTTACTGTTAATTTTTTATAATTTTAACAAAATTCCATATCTACACAAGAAATATATCAATTTAATCAGATGAAAGTTTGTAATAATTTTGTTAAGATTATACATATATAGATGGGAGCAAAGAATTGGAAGAACCAATTAGACAAATTTCTCTTCTAATGATTCTAAATAAAATTAAACCCAAAAATTTATAGGATAGGGATAATCATTTTGAAGCTAATTTAATGTAGATTAGCCCTATACAATTTTTGAACTTTTAGAATCATTAGAAGAGAAATTTGGCTAATTGGTTCTTTCAATAATTTGCTCCTCCCTACTTTATATAGCCTATGTCAGATCTAAAATAATAATAGAAGATTAGATACTAATCTCAAAATTTCCTACTCTTGAAGACTACATTTTAATAATTCTGTTTAAATTTGAAAATGTCTTGAATGTGCAGATATGGAGAAAGTAAAATATCTTAAAATTAATTAGACTTTCTGGAATTGGATTATTTTTGAAATTTAATATTTTAAGAAATATAGAAATAAAGTTTTATAGAACATTGGGTTGATAAAATATGTGATAATGTAGATTATTGATGTAATTTGAAATGATAATACAAAAAAGGAAAATTTTTTTTTATCAATATATCTTTTTATCAGTGTATTAAATGAAGTATTACTGAATCTTTGGATTTATTATCTAGCCTATAATCTTTTGATTGTCATTTTCTGTGTTTATATTACTTTTATTTTGCAATTATTTTTCCTTACTTATTTTATATGTTANTGTGAGGTTAAGATAAAATCAGTACTGCTTTTTTTCTGAGATTTGTGATCTGGAGGTCGAAAGATACTTAATTTTTCCGTGTATAAATTATAGAAACCATATATATTTGTTACTAGATTCATGTTTCAGACTAGTTTGCTCATCTCAATTGAAATTCATTATTTGTTATTTCAATATAAAAATTGTGTTATTCTTGATAATTGAAATGAATTTATCTAAAGAGAAAGAAGAAATAATAGTTTTGTTTTTACTGTTAATTTTTTATAATTTTAACAAAATTCCATATCTACACAAGAAATATATCAATTTAATCAGATGAAAGTTTGTAATAATTTTGTTAAGATTATACATATATAGATGGGAGCAAAGAATTGGAAGAACCAATTAGACAAATTTCTCTTCTAATGATTCTAAATAAAATTAAACCCAAAAATTTATAGGATAGGGATAATCATTTTGAAGCTAATTTAATGTAGATTAGCCCTATACAATTTTTGAACTTTTAGAATCATTAGAAGAGAAATTTGGCTAATTGGTTCTTTCAATAATTTGCTCCTCCCTACTTTATATAGCCTATGTCAGATCTAAAATAATAATAGAAGATTAGATACTAATCTCAAAATTTCCTACTCTTGAAGACTACATTTTAATAATTCTGTTTAAATTTGAAAATGTCTTGAATGTGCAGATATGGAGAAAGTAAAATATCTTAAAATTAATTAGACTTTCTGGAATTGGATTATTTTTGAAATTTAATATTTTAAGAAATATAGAAATAAAGTTTTATAGAACATTGGGTTGATAAAATATGTGATAATGTAGATTATTGATGTAATTTGAAATGATAATACAAAAAAGGAAAATTTTTTTTTATCAATATATCTTTTTATCAGTGTATTAAATGAAGTATTACTGAATCTTTGGATTTATTATCTAGCCTATAATCTTTTGATTGTCATTTTCTGTGTTTATATTACTTTTATTTTGCAATTATTTTTCCTTACTTATTTTATATGTTAATCTAATTTTTACTTTCCAATTTATTCATTGTTTTATTTCTTTAAATTTAAATAATTATTTTAATATTTTACTTAATTTATTACTTAAATATTGAAATATTAATTTTTGTATAATTGAAAAATTTTTTAATGACATAAAAATTGGTCACATTTACACTTGAGTGTGAATTCACATTTAAACTTAGTCTTCAATGATATGTAAGTCTAGAAGTTACAAAAAGTTCTTAAATGCTAAAATATTTGTCCTACTTTGTCATTATCAAGCCTCCACTAAAGAATAAATAATAATAATTGCTTTATTTATTTTGTAGTAATTTGAGAATGGTATAAAGTATGCTAACAACATTAAAATTTAAGTGCTTTTTTATAATCTCTCGACTTCTATATTTAATTAAAGAATCATTAAATTTAAATATGCAAATAAGTTAAAACCATGTTTAAACCAGATGATTTTTTGGTTGTAATCCCTTTAATAATTTTTATTTTTCAAATTGTGTTCCATTCTATTTTTGTTTGATCTTATTGAGATTTAGAAATAAATATAAATATCACTCATATATCTTACTTTTTTATTTCTTTACAGTGGTAAAACTATGAATGACTTAATATCTACTGTATATTTTCATAGATTCATTACTCTTGAATGGTAGAATACTAAATAAATGTTAATTGGTATTAATGTTGTATTGTAAAATAAACCATTACAACTGCACTGTTGAGTTAAAATCTAAAAAACAAAATTAGTTGTGATTAATTATAATAAAAAAAATCATTAATAATCAGAAGAACTTCATTTTGTCTCTCTATAAACTACTGGATTTATGGACAGTTAAAATTTACAATAAAATATTTATTGGATATTTCTTTCTAAACCAATCTTGAGCTATATTGATTAATAGGAAGCTGTAAAACATCATCATTTTTCATAAACAGAATATTTTCACAGTTAAAAATTCTAAAAAATAAATTAATTAAATTGTTACATACTTGTCCAAACCAAATTTGTAGGAAAAACATACAAATAGAACATGAATATTATCTATAATTAAAATCATGTCAATAATTCCATCTTTAAAGTTAAATTCCGCAATGTAAAAATAGTGAAAATCAGCAGTGCTGAAAGATTATATCTTAAATTTTATAATAATAGAAAAATGATATTAAAAATGTTTTAGACATATTTCACAGGAATTTTAACTTTTAATGATTTTAAAAATTTTGTGATACTATGTTACTTTATATAAATTTTTATATACACCTACAGTATATTATATAGATAATTGTTTTGAATAAAATTTGTTAAAAACTTACTCTGAGAATTGTCTTAATTAATAAATGAATCTTTCTACAAAATTTTATCATAATTTTTTTTTTTTTTTTATAAAAACTAATCTTTCTTAATTTTTCATAAATCAAAATTTCCTGATACAGGTGATTCTCTAGCACCAGTAGCAGATTGCAATATTAAATTATATAACAGTCATTGTAAAGAAGATATGTCTGTTAAGAATTATATTTCTTACTGGAAGAGAAGATATTATAGCAAAGGAGATTCACCTTGTTTATATCTTAAAGATTGGCATTTTGTCAGGTATGTATCTGTTCATATTTAATTTTATATTATAGCATAATTGTGTTGCATTAGATGTTATGATCATCCCCACTTATCAAATATTAGTCATGAATCAATATTTCAATAATTTACAGGTATTGTTTTACTGATTTTGTGTATAAATCCAAAATTTTAGACTTTAGTTTGTTGTTTTTAATTAAATGTAGTATATCTCTGCTCTATTATACTTTTACTGGAAAATCACTTTTAAATGAGTTGTAAATAAACTGACCTAAAAGCTCAATATGGTAAGTTTTATTCACAGAAGTGCAGATTGAAATAGAGGGTGAGCTGTTTTGGAAGAGAATGATTTGAAAGCTATATAATAATAAACATACAATATAAACATGAAGTTCAAATTCTGCTACAACAGCAAGGAAAGGTAGAATTTCAGTGGATAGTTTCATCATGTGACAAAAGTAAAAGTAGCATCATGTACAATGCATTAAGTATGTCTTCAAAGTTTGTATGTATGATTGCCATTAAACTCAAGTTTTGTTGTGTTTATGGTTTCAAGAAAACTATTTAAGTATGATTGCATAATACATTGGTATTACACATTCAAAGAAACAGGGTCAATTATGAAGCCATATCCAGTGGTCATAAGCATGATCCTGAGAACGCCCAATTTCAGATCTATTGGCATTTAGCCTAAGGAAAAATGCTATGACAGTCAACTCTGCCATACACAAGATGCCAATGCATTGTTAGACTGTTGCTTTTCACTATATATTTTTTTCTTTTGTCCTATTATTCTTGACATCTTTTCCTGTTCTTTGTTCATTCCACCTTCGAGAACTTTCTTACCTTCTTAATTCTTCTTTCTTGGAGATGAGGGCCACTTCGTAGAAATTTCCAACAATGAGTATGAGGTTACCTGAGGGCATATGTGGTGAAGGAAGGTTACTTTTTGAGCAGTGCTTGAGGAGAGAAGAATTTGAAAGGAAAAAGGCATTTCAGTGTCTAGTGCCTGAGAGATGGGTGAGACTATAACTGAGAATGGGAAATTTGAAATTCACAGACCGGAGTTGGGGTGTTAGAGCCAGCATTTCAGTTCAGTGTGTCAGAACAAGCAATTATTTCTTTTGAATCAACTAGACGAAAAAAGGAAACCCTTGTAGAACTGAGGGAGAGGAAAGTAGAAGACAGTATTGTATGTTTACAAAGCTCACACATGGCCCTCACTGTAACTGAATGACCTGGGTAGTCTTTCTTATTCTGTCTTATTTGCCATTTTGCTACTTCTCCCCCACACTTTCTATTTCCTCTTAGTTGTAAATTAATGTTAAGGAATATTTTTGTAATTACTATATTATTCTATATTATTCTGTTTGTTTTAGTTGTGAAAATTTCTATTGTCTACCAACGACCAGATTTCAGATGACTGTAAAAAAGTCCGTAATTCCTTGAGCTGGAATCCCCTCTTTTTTTGTTCCTTATTATCATACAAATTAAGTTCTTTTTCTTCTATCCTGTGCTTGTGTGGTTTTTGTTTTTGATGTTTGCCTTTATGACACTTTTTCTAAAATCTAACAAGACATTACCTGAAAGTTATCTATAGTGCTTATACATAATCAAAAACTTCATTAAGAAACTTCAGACTATGAGGCGTTAAATAAAATTAGGAGAAATATTTTAATCTTGCTCGCAGACACAATTTCCTTTGTGTCTGCGAAGTACTTTAAAACAAATGGAGAAATCTCTCCTTTTGAAATTAATTAAAGTGAAACGCAAATCATTGGCTGAAGCTGAACTTAAAGTTATACGTTGCCCATCTGCAATTTGCCAAGTCTTGTGACCCGGTTTCACTCTACGACCAACTTGGAAAGATTCATAGTATGGCATCGAAATTTGCCCGAGATGAAAGAGCTAAACTAAACAGGAAATTCAAGTGGCTTTGTAATGCGACATGCAAGCGACAAAATCCAGTGCAGCCAACCCAATTTCACAATTACACAGAGGAAATTGTTCCATCTCGGATTAAGAAGATTTTACAACAGGGACCCAGGTATATCCCTCCACCACAAAATATGAGCGCCGCAGAAATGGTTCCAGCGACTCTTGCAGTACTCAAGTGCTGCCAAGCGGCAACAAAATATCCGCAAATGGAACTCTCAATCATCTCGACACTTTCCTCAGTAAGACAAAATTTCGCTCGAACTAAACAAAGTCCCGGTGACCATTATGTGAAACGGTACTTATCAACTGCCAACATGAGACTTCTGATATCAGACAAGGACAAGAAGTTTGTTCTATGTAGGGAGGAAGACTTTTTATGCAGGGCCACAGACTTTCTCAACCAGTCGCAAGCTGTCATCTTACTGGAAGACCCAACACCATCCGTGTTAAGAAAAACAAAGAAAATAATTACTTTCCCAGGAGTTACTTCTGTTCTTTCGGGACGCCTGGATCCCCATCTAACGTCACTTGCCCAAGACTTTTCTTTGAGGCAAAAACGCACAAAGAGAGCTGGCCATTAAGGCCTTTAGTCAATAAGCGGTCCCATCCTACATACTTCCTTGAAAAAGCGCTTGCTAGATTGCTAGCTGGGTTACTTCCTCCCTCCTCCCAAGTAGTGTCCTCATCTGTCACGGCTAAAGAAAGGTTATGCGCTACGCTGGCTGGCTTGAATCCAGATACTTACACATTTTATAAAATGGATGTTGTTGCATTGTACCCTTCAGTACCGCACTTCGAAGCGGTGATGCTAGCCAATACCTTACTTATCAAAGAGGGTTTTACTGCACAGCAAGTTTTAGAAGTTCGCGAAGCATTGCTCTTTGTTATGGAGCACAATTACTTCCGCTTCAATGGAAAGATATATCTGCAGAAACAAGGGGTGCCGATGGGCTCACCACTGTCAGCTGTATTGGCAGAACTTATCATGCGGCACGTTGAACACAGCATTTTTAAAGTCCCTCTCACTATAGCTTACCCCTTAATTTATTTAAGATACGTAGATGATATTATTTTGGCGTGGCAGGATACGGAAGACTCCTTCCAGGTATTAGAACATCACTTATCAAAAATGTATACCTCTATACACTTCACTTGGGAGAAGGAAGTTGGGAGAAGAATCGCTTTCTTGGATTTGCACATTCACAAATCCCAGGAAGGCTTGGAGTTTTCCGTTTATCACAAGTTTGGCAATATCCCACCCATAATACCGGCCACAGCCTGTCAGCCACAGCAATATGTTAATGCGGCCATAGCCCCCTTGATCAGACGGGCATTCTTACTACCATCGACACAGCATCTTATCAATACTGAACTGGAGGCAGTCCGCACAGCGGTGTATGCGGCGGGATTTAGTTCCTTCAAATACATCCATGTTAAAAATAGAGTTATGCAGTTTCTCTTCCCTGCCACCACATTACGCAGACCAAGGGATTGGACAACACTTCGTCCCTCACTCCCATACTGTGGACGCTTTACAGTCTGGATCTGCCGGATCTTTAGGCAGAATGGTTTCCGTTTACCTATAGCCCCACGACCATGTCTGCGACGAATCTTGTGTAACGATAGAGATGCTATTTCCACCCTGGAAAAATCTGGTGTATACTCCGTTCCTCTGCAAAATCCAATATCAGGACTATGCACCAATTATATAGGAGCGACTACCAGAATGCTGGCCGCTCGCATATCTGAACACCAACGTTCGGTGGCACTTGGCAATTGCGACACCGAACTTTCCAAATTGGTGATACAACACCACCACATAGCGCTTTGGAATCGAGTGGCAATACTCAAACGCTGTGATGAAGGGAGCTTGATATATATTTGGGAGGCCATCTTCACAAAACTGCTCTCTCCGTGCAACTCCCCTACCCTCGACTTACCGGACATCTGGATTAATTTATACAGGCATTTAAAAAATCAACAGTAATTCTACACCCCCTTTTCCGCACCTCCTATGTGAATCAAGGCGCAAACGTGTCGGCCTCTTTATGTGCGTTTTATTTTTATATTTACGCATGTTTTATGTATTTTAAGTTATGTCACGATTTTATATCTAAAATTTTAATGTAAAACTTGCACTTATGGCTCTATTCTGATCGGCTTCTATGCTGTATGTTAAGGCGCATGCGTGCAAAAATTTTACACGCATTTACAAAATGTTTTTAATTCAAAATCTAAAATTTACTTGTTCTTAATAGCCATTCCAATTGGCTTTTATGTTATACATATTAAGGAGCACATGCGCCAATTTTTTGCGTGTACAAAATAATTAATAGCCATTCCAATCGGTCTTTATTTGTTTAAAACGCATGCACACCAATTTTAAATATTTACTTCTAAAATTTAAATCTTATTTATAATAATATTCCAAAAACGGCTAAAATTGTTAATATTTTAAAAAATTTAAATGTTCTGTTCAATTTCTCTATTCGATTTGAATTGCCTGAAGACGACGTACATATTTACGTTGAAAGCGCTTGCAAGATTAAAATATTTCTCCTAATTTTATTTAACGCTTCATAGTCTGAAGTTTCTTAATGAAGTTTTTGATTAAGTTAACTGTTGGCGTGACATCTGAACCGAGTATTTAATACACTTAACAAGGTGCTTATACATTCTTTAAGCAATACAGATACAGGAGCAATACTGTCAAAGTTTGCATATCAAAGGATATATGGAGTAAGTTGTGTCATGGTCAGTGTCATTTTTGTTTTTGTCATGTGACAAAATTACTTAATGAAACTCCTACTTTTCTTTGTGGCCAAATTTGAACTTCATATAACTAATGTGTTTATTATAACATAACTCATCTAAACAGATTACTCTGTATATTAGGCATGGGCAATCTTTTGACATTGAATAGACATCCAGGTTTTGATATCAGATTAACTAAACTATATTTTGTAAATTCAAGATAAAAGAAATTTTCCATTTATAAAGGATACACAATACTATGGATTCACTTATAGCCCTATGACTTTTCACTAGGCACATGAATTATTGTAAATTACTTATTATGT